CACAGGGCAAAGGCATTGGCTTAATGTGGTTTAGTGGCATAGGACAAAATTTAATGGTCTAATGGTTTGGGTCATTGGGGATACAACGAAAACCGTTGGGGACCCCATATAGGGGGGTACCCATATATATATATATGTATGTACAGTATGTAGTATATAACATGTCACTTTAGAATACATAATATACAATGTAAACTATATCCTATAGCATATATCATGTACCATGTGTATCATGTGTCATAACACCGTTCACCATATATGACCTCTCATGAAAAGTGTAACGTTCTATTATAGAACACCTGCGACACAACGCTAGGGCCCAGGGCCTTGCTGCGGGCCCTGAACCGTACAGCGAAGGTCTGGGGTGCCTATGTGGAGCTCGCATCTCTGCTGTCCAATGCCATCTACCTCACGTCCTCTGCTTCTGAGGCCAGGAGAGTGGAAAAGAATTCAGGGTCGTTTTGAGAAGCTTCCCGCAGGGAAGGAGGTGTGTGTGCGTGTGTGTGTGTGTCTGTGTGTGTGTGTGTGTGCGTGCGTGCGTGCGCACGTGTGCACGTGTGTGTGTGTGTGCGTGCATGTGTGCATATGCGTGTCTGTCTGTGTGTGCGCATTTGTGTGCATTTGTGCCGGCATGCAGCATGTATGTCTTTGTTTGTTTGTATTCCTTTCCGTGTTGTCATTGTTCTCTTTGTCACGTAAATGCTGCGTGTACAGACTCTGCTACACCACAAGTTTGCGACACTCGATGTGCACTGTGGTGCGGATATTCTGCTTCTACACCCATGTCGCGAACTAGGTTCGGCTGATCCGGGTGTCAACCAAAGAGCGTAGGCTCTGGTCCAGCTATGGGCTTAAAATCTTGGCACACTGATGCCGATAAGGCTTGATTTCCGGTTCTTGATTTTCCTGGAAATGTGCGGAAGCTAGACATAGCAGGAGCAACCCTTAAACAGCAGGCCGCCGTAGAAAGTTGGAACATTGCAAAACCGCCCTTCATTTTTGACCACTCGCTGAAGCCCATACGGTCCCAAAGATTGTTGAACCTTCGAAACCTTGCTTTGAGTTTTGTCAGCTTTTCCATTGTTGCCAAGAATTACTGCTCAAATCATTATGTACTACCGCAGATATCCATTACGCTCCAATTTGGTTGCCATCATCTTACTACACGCAAATCAACGCCGCATCGGCTCTGCAACCCTAAAGCTTCCCTAAACCCTCAACCCTAAACCCTCAACCCTAAAACCTGCACGAGGTGCGGGAGAAGGCCTACGCAGAGGCCAGAGCAAAACCAGCAGTCACCCAGAGCGATCTGAAGGAGCTCAGCTACCTGCAGGCTGCTTTGGGTTTCGCTTTGGGTTTAGCTTTGGTTTAGGGTTTAGGGTTTTAGGGTTTTAGGGTTTAGGGTTTAGGGTTTTAGGGTTTAGGGTTTAGGGGTCGGTTTGGGGTTTAATTTCGGTTGCCGGGTTCAGGGTTTCGAGGTTCAGCGGTTTGGGCTTTCGGGGTTCCCGAAGCTTTTGCAACCCAAAGGCTGCCTTCCTTTTTAGTCTCCCCCACCGAAGCCTCAAAGCTCTAGAGCAAGGCAAGCCAAGCCCGACATAATATAGGGGCCTTAATAATTACCTATACTATTTTGGGGGTTCGTTATTCTAGTTATGGTATAGTGGGCCCCAAAACCCTACTCTAATTAAATTATTAAGGCTTCTACATGAGAGCCAGGCAAGCAAAGCCCCACGTACCTGTACCTTCATGCCGGCCCGTACGACAGTCTGAATTCAGGCTTTCTGCGCATGGAGAAGATGAACCGAACGAGCAGATCCGAAACCCTACAAATATGATTTCCTTAATATAAGTGTTAAAAAGGCAGGTTCTTTGGGGTCTAGGCAAGCCTTGCACATGGGTAGTTCTCTAAACTAGGGTCGCGTCTTAGGTCCCAAGTACAGTACGGCAGCCTTTTAAAAAGAGAGACCCGACCCACATCTTCTTTCCCGACACTAAACTGCCAGGTTCCCAAATACCTTATACCCTGGCGATCGTGACCACCCCAAGTTACCGTACTTCAACACTCAAAGAAGTTTAAGCATTTAGTTACGGAAACTACTTTAGCCTTAGAGTTCAGGGTTCAGGGATCTTCCGCGCTCTTCTTTCGATGCACTTTAAGCATGAGCCAGCATGTGAGGGAGTAGTTTAAGGTACACTGCTTGACAA